GTGTTTATTATTCACGTTGAATCAATGAAAGCAGTTTAATCTTCTGTTTATTCAGCTGCAGCTATAGGCATTTTCTGGGTTTCTTCTGCGAGGCGTATTTGGAGTTTCAGCGCGAGAGCGCCCTCTGGCCTTTGGATGGAGATTTACTGCTGATCACAGAACCGTGCTTCACTGAAAGATACGCATGACAATCGCAGCTTCTGTCGAATCGCGATCTCGATTCCATTTCGATTTATCGTGCAGCCCTACTGTATATGGATCATGATTGTGTTAATCATTCAGTACCATGGTATATACCAAAATACTATGGTATCACCAAATGTTTTACCATAATTTTACCTTGTTGCCATATTTGTTGTAAGAGTTAATGCAGAAATCAGATTTTATTATTACTGATATTTATTATCAGTCTTAAATTTTATATTTCCAGTCTTAGATTCATAATGTACCATAGTAAATATCAAAGTATAATACCATCATTGTACCATGGTACCACTAGAGTAGCTTTTTGTAAGGGTTAATGTAGAATAATCAGATTTTATTATTAATATTGATATATTGATACTTATTTATTTTACATAGCCTAAATCATGAATATGTTAATCATTCAGTATGTATCAAAATATAACAGTATTTCCTTCTGGTTCCATCACGAGGCCCTATATCACGTTATTGCCACAGTATTTTTTTTTTTTTTTTTGGTGTTTGTGTTGAATAAACAGATTTTATATTTATATTCTAGCCTCTAAATTTATTAAACACTAATATGTAGCACAATTTAGTAAAGTCCACCAATATGAATCAGTAGCACAATCATATTTTGAATATTGAAATACAAGCATCCTTTCTGAAGTGTAGCTATGACTCTGAGTATGTGTTCAGGGGCCTGTGGGAATGTGTGTGCCATTGTTGTGTTTGGTGTCTTTTAGGCTGTGGAGGGTTAATTATACTCCCTCTGACTCCCTCTTTGTCTTTGATAGGGCCACTTACAGCATATGGCCACAGCAATACAATAGTTTATTTTTATGATATTTGATGAGTGGTTTTTAATTTAGATTGTCACTTCTGGCAACCAGCAGGGCAGATGGTGTAGATTTGATTGCCCATCAGAGCCTAAACATCCTCCAGACAGCTGTTGCTAATAAACTTTTTCCCCCTTGTTTTTCCCCCCTGTTTTCCCCCACGCAACACGTTTTAGGTCAAGAGGAGTCAAACCTGTTACAACACCTGTTTCTGCATATGTAAATCTGTTGTTTTGTCATTTCATTAAACAAGAAAAAAAGGCAACAGTCCCTTGTGGTTGCAAATGCGACTGGCATCGAGCCCACTTGGCAGGGTGAAGACTGTGAGGGGAGGAGGGAAAGACACGTAAAAGACAACTGCGGTTTGTGTCACAAGACCGCAGGGCCGTTGGATGCCGCTTCCGTGTGAGGATGTTTTCCGAAAGGGCCTCAGTGGAGAATACAGTCCCCCCCTCGCTCTTCTTTTTTTCTCTCCGGAAGTTGGAACCTGGCACACGCGTGGCTGGCACACACTCTTGTTCAACCCCCACTGCCGTATTCCCATTGCCCTCTCATCATGCCGTCATGTCAGAGCTCGACTCAGAGCCACATGTGCCGGTCCCGTGTGTGCGCTGCCTCTGGGGCTAATTGCCCCAACCGCTGGTGCATGACGATTTTAACCCAAAAAGCATCTTCATATCCTTATATACATTCCCTTTCTCTCACCCACTGCACTTTTCCACCCATTTCTGGGGTAAGTTGTGGGATTTGAGTTGTAATCCCATCTGTGTACGCAGGATGCAACAAATATGGTGTGAAATTAGAGGTTATTCCTCTGCTTTGAAGATTACTGTCATTGTTGTGGAAAACACAGCTTTGTATGCTGCACTGTTTGTTGTATTAGTTACAAGTTTCCATCTTACCTTGAGGTACACACTGTTATTCCCCTACCTGGGTGTTTTAATTTGGCCGTTGATCCGCAAGCTACCCTGGGTTTGGCTCGGACGGCCTCCTGTTTGAGGGTCCCCGTTGTGTGTTAATCTCCCTGGGCCGTTGAGGTATTCTTCCTGTGATTTAGCGCCTCTCCGCGAGCCTCTCCGGAGCGCCACGCCATCTCTCTGTGATAGGGAAGTTCATTAGGGATGTGCCTTTGATGGGGCAGCTTTTCATGTGACGGCGCTCTCAAATACCTTGATGTAGAAGCTTAAGAAGCCATTGTGCCGCAAGCGTGTCTTATTTAGATCTGCATAGTAAATCGACCCGAGTAAATATGGGAAGAAGCAGATGGAAGCAAGGAGATAAGGCCCAGACGAACAATCGCATTTGTATTTTGTTATGATGTTGACAGCAGCTAAAATTCACTAATCTAGCGCCACTGATCTGCATTTCAAAGAAATCTCATTTAGCAGCAGGGAGGATAAAGTTCTTTTCATTGTGGTCGCGCTTCTTCTTTTTTTTTTTTTTTTTACTTGCATTCTTCATTAATTTATCTGCCGCAGATTTAACGTTGGGCCGGGCGCAAGCATGCTGCATGTTGCAAAGGGGATCTTAAATACCCTGAAAGCGGTAACGTCTAGACTGTGAACCGGGGGTAATTACACGTCCGCTGATGAATGGAGGGAGTTTGAAGACTCATCTTTGTTCGGGGGGCCTGAATTGCTTGACTAGCGCTGATAAGGGCCGTTCGCCCCTCAGTCAAAATATATTATGGTGGCTTCCACCTCCTAACACGGGAATGGTATTTACTTGAAAAGGTAAAAAATTGTGTACTGTAATCTGACTTATTCGTAGAATTCGTCTTCATTCATCCGCACACCCAGCAGAGGGGCCGGAGAGGTATTCCTGCCCTTGATATGAAATAGTTTATCGCGACTTTTAAAACCGGGCTTCATGTAAATATTAGACAGTGGCATTAGGACAGCCTCTGCTAAATGCAGTATATGTGTATATAATTTGATAGTATTTAGAGATCTCAAATTGAAACGGGTCTGGCATTTTGTAAACTCGTCACCACGAGGTCATGCGAGCTAATAACATTGGAAAAGTCGATTTAAAAGGTGAGTTTTCACAGTCCAAAGACATTGTTGTATTAACACAAACTCGGAGGAAGTTGGAAATGAACGGGACATTAATGCTTTTCCAGAATGATTATTCAGAGCTTTTTATATCGCGTTTCATTTCCAGAGTTTGTGTACACATGTGCAGACAAAAATCACTGACAATACAGTCTTAAATATAATTTTGATAATTAATCTCTCAATCAAATGTTGACTGAGCCAATGAGCTTAAATATACACTATTTGTGCTCCTAAACTGAGTGTACTTCCAGAATTACAAAGACCCTACAGGGGTCTTTGGAATTCTGGGACAGGGAGAATCCGAAGCCATTCGGATGGTTTGTGTGTGTGTGTCCCATACTGTTGCTTCACAAGTGAACCGTACTCTTCAAAAAAAAAAAGAAGAAATATGTTACAACTTGCAGTTTTTTTTATTTAAATGAGGTGAACTGAGCTGTACACGCTCATTTAGTCTAACATATCTGTGAGTGTCAGCAGGAAAAAAAAACGGTAGAAGCCTTGATGGAAGTTTGATTTATGCTCTGTTAGTTTTAATCTGCCAGGCATGGCAAGCTGTTTCGAGGGCAAAACATTTTCTCTCATTTCTGATGCATATTATTATTCTGGGTGTAATATATGTCAATTTGAAATGCAGACGAAGATATCGAAGTGCGTTTAAAAATTTTAAATTGAAAAATTTGATTTCTGAATAAGGTTTAATATAATTTTTTGTTTGTTTTTTGACAGATTCTCTCATATTTGGATTCAGTTCTCTCAGACAAACGGACATCAACTGAAAGTTTCCCCTCAGTGTAAGATCGAAAAACACAGCTTCTCTTGTACTTCTGTCAACACTTTCATCTTTTTGGCAGATGCACTCTTTGAAAACAAGATAAAAAACTAGAGTGTGATTGTATGCAACTGTGGCGCATTGACGTGAAATGAGCCCACATCCAGTCTTTTGATTGACCTGTTGTATTGATGGAGTGTGACAGACTTTGTTGTACGATACATCGTCGTATCGATATTTTGAACACAGCACTACTAAATACCACTGACCACATGCTCACACTGTCATTTTTTTGCTGTTTTGCCACCTTTATAGCATTCAAAAAAGGTAAAATGCAAAAAAGGGCATGCTTCAGGGAAAAAATATGTATGTTTACACATGTTTCCCATTCTGTGTCGGTCAGGATGAGACCTGGTATGGCCATTGCTCATAGCGCAGCAGGAGTACTCTGAAACCAAGGCAAAAGCGGTGAGTAAAAGCAATCTTTAAAGTGCTAATTTGCATGTCTTGGTCATAATTGATATGTCCTCTCAAAAATCACTTCCATTATATATTCCATCAACCACATCCTGAGAGGAGCATTAATAACGAGGAGTCCGGGGACCTCTTAAAGATTCTTGATGCATTATGATAGTCGAGAGAGTCCACTTAGTTTCTGACGGCCTTGGCGGTTGTGGGGTTTCACATTAAAGGCAGTTGAAGTCAAGATAAATGTATTATGGTGCATAACCCAGCAGGTAAAGATTTGAAGCATGTTAACCAGCTCCCTCTGTTGAAGCCCTGATGATGGTTTTGTCACCAAGTAAGTAAAAAATACGCATAAGGAATCCCACCGTCTGTAAGAATGTGACTGCTGATTATGTGGAGGTTGTGGTCACCGTCATTAGCGATGTAGACATTGCCAGACGGGTGGCTACAGTTGCGAAGGGTAAAGACTAAGACCTGCACCTATTCAAGGCCGTTCGCGCAGAGGGCAAGTTTAGGTCATGTATTATTGGATTAAGAGATTTGTTGACTTTTTAAGGGTCCTGATATTAGTTACTGTAGGTACTCAGTTGTTATTATAATTTTTGTTCGGAAGGGATAAAAAAAGGGAATCAAAAATAAAAACTGTGAAACACAATAGGAGAAATGTTGAAGAATGTACTGGCCAATCTTCAACATATAATGAATTGGGGGGGAAGCACTATAAAAATATTATAAACGTAGTGCCATGAAAATTACTCAGTATCTTTTTGCAACAAACAGATCAACAGTTAAGTCATTATCTATTAAAATATGGTGCCTTTAGATGCAACATGTAAAGTTTGATCACAAAGAAGTTTGTTTAAATATGTAGAAGTTCGAATGAAATACATTTCTTGAATGGTCCCCTGAAACTTTATTGGTGCAACCTGTATCCTCATTCATTTATATGGAAAAGAGTCGAAAGTACATTTTGGAACATTTCTCCACTTGAGTTCCAAGAAAAAAGTAAGTAATACGGGTTTGGAACGACTTAAGAGTGAGTAAATGATGATTTAATTTTTTGGCCACTTTTGGGGTAAAATTTCCTTTTAATAATTAGTGTACAAATAATGAAATAACGCTAATTTAGAAAAAAAATGGTTATGCTATATTATGTAGAGAAAAAAGCTTTAGAAGTTGTTTAAGCACCTAATCTACGGGTGATTTGGTATGATTCAGTCAATGCACTTGTATTTAAAAAAAAAAAAAAAAATATATATATATATATATATATGTATGTATATACTGTGTATATATATATATATATGTTAATCTGAGCTAAGAAAGTTTCACATTGCGCTAGCAATAACAGCCCACGCTTTGCTGCCAATTTGCTAAACTCAGCGGAGTCCAGCGCTCGGCTCGGTAGAGAAGCGTCCATCAGTGAGGCTATTCCAAGCCATTACTCTGCCTTTGAGGTGCGGGACTGATTAAAGTTTGCATTTGCTGAAGAGGTTGCGTGGCTTGGCTTCAGGCAGGGGCTGAATCCCCAGAAGTCACTGCCTCACAAGGCTAACCAAAACCCGGCTCCTCTCTCCCCACCTTAAAGAGATTTGAATATTAGTTTTTAATTTGACGAGTATCCACTTAAATCTTCAAAGATGAACTCTTAAAGCATATCTGTTCTGGAACAGAAGTCCTCTGATCAGTGCATAAAAAAAAAAAGTATAATTGCTGCCCAACTTCACACCGCCAATGCACACACATTATAAAATCTACAGCAATTAAGCATATCTCACCCGAGTTTAAAGACGAGGAATGGCATTGCTCAATCTTCGGTTGGACGGACTTGCGTGTTCTTCGCTTTGAAAATTGATTTCTTGTTCTAGTAGAACTCCTGTCAGTTCCATCTAAAATGGCTCAGAGAGAGCTCTTTCACTCCCCAGAGTCGAGAGTAACCTCCATGGGGCTTTGCTCTGGACACTCGGAGCCGAGAGCTCGGAAGGATATCAAAGGAAACCGGGCTCTGTCTCCATTGGAAGGTCTCATTGTGTGGCTGATTTGGGATTGGAAAGGGAAGGTAGTTGCGGATGGAGATGAAGCGAATCTTTTCCTCCTAATCTTTATCCCCCATTAACCACCAGAACCCAAGCAGCTCCTGGGACCAGGTCACTGGTCAATCCCCCCATTTCGATCGAATATTTTAAACTTAAGACATTTTATGATGGATGGAAAAAAAGTTCAGGCCATCAGAGGTTCACTTCATGGTTCTGGTCTTTCTCTTCTTCTTAAACTCTATTTGGTTCATTGTTTTGTCTCCGTATTAGAAAGATTCTGCCCAACTTTCCATATTCCCGTTAAGCTTGGTTTGGGAAAGGGCTCATGAAACCATGCTGTGAGCAAATTGGAGCTTGAGTAGCTCCTTGTCTTGCCCATTCACATCTTTTTTCTTAAACGTGATAATAAGAGGTTTGCAAAGTAAACTCTGGCAATAACGGTGGCGCCTTCGTTCCCTCACTTCCATGCATTCAGATCCAGATAAAGCGAAAAGCTAAATGCTAATCTTTCTCAGTGGCATCTAGACAGCTTTATTTACTCGCATCCTAAAAGACAGTGAGACAGAAGGAAACAAATTGAGGCCAGTTTGAAAAATAGAGCAGGAGTTTGTGGAGAATGGACAGTTGCCCCTAGAATAGAGTTACAAAAGAGAGTCTGCCATCATTCCTGATAGAAGAGACAGACTGAGTCAATGAGGTTATTGATCCAGCAGGAGTGCTATGCTAATCAGCCGTCTGAATGGGCCGAGAGTCAGTGTCCTTCACTGCGACTTCTACTTGGTTTACTGGTCTTTTTAGTCTCTTAATACATACCCAGTAAGTTTGATATGCACAACTCTACGTAGTTTGTGTAGAAGCTATAAGCGCTGGAATGTTTTCAAGTGGTGGGATGATTGTGAAACGAGACTTTTTGACATCAGAATGGTCTGACACAAGTCTGACCCCAGCGGTCCAGGTGGTGGGAATTAGTCAGACACTTTTTTGACATCAGAATGGTCTGACACAAGTCTGACCCCAGCGGTCCAGGTGGTGGGAATTAGTCAGACACTTTGCTTGCAGGTGATCATGTCCAATGCATTGGTCTCATGCCGTCTTGTCCCTGGAGCATATTTTGAACTCCCCGTACGGTCATGAAATGGATCGCGGTGTAGAATAGACATGGGTGGATTAGGAATGAATGGGCACAGATTGAATATATGAGAATGTGAGTCCAAATACCAATTTCTGCCAATTTCATTGTTAAGAATGTGTATTGAAACAATCACGAGACCGATTAGAAACTTATGTTCGGACAATTGTCACATCAACTCCAATTGAGTTGACTAAACTAGGATTATGACACGAAACAAGCAATGGAAGCTGCCATTGGTTTCTTGCAGCCAATTTATTTAGAGGCTTTGAAACAACTGAGTATGAAGGATTTCGGCCTCCTGTGGAGTTGTAAGACTCCTAGATTATGTGAATAATTGGCCACAAAAAGGATTAATTTAAATGTAAATTAGATTAAATTAGTTTAGTCATATTTTGTGTGTGTGTGTGTGTTTTATAAAATGTGATTCTTCTCAGAAGAATTCAAGTATTTCAATGCATTTCTCATATTTGATATTTTAAATAAACAGCTAATGTTATTTTCGTCTGAAGAAAGAAATATTATACGTTAACCGAGTTCTCCCCCGCCATACTTTGATAGCGCTGTTTTGAAATGCATTCTCCATTTGAATGCTTTGTCTGGCTTCATTCACAGGAAAAGCATTACTACAAAAGATACAAGCCCACCACTTTGTTCTTCACGATAATTTGATCGTGGCTTGAAAAGTGATCTTGCGGAAGGAGAGGTGCTAGAGCCTGGAATTTGGCTTCCCCACCACAAACCGCAAGCCTGTACAATCAAACTGTCACGGTTACCTGCTTTGATAGATGGTGAAACTGTTTGTTGTTGGGACAAGAGCAACAAGATTTGGTTCACATGTCCGTCTCAGGCTGGAATGTGTGTGTCGGCGCGACCGTGCTGCCAAATCCAAGAGTCTCTGATTTCTCTTCATGGCGCACGCTTCACTTTTGTAACCCTCTCTCATGAAAGCCGTGCCTCTGGGCCAATTCTGCGGTCACACTACCTGATTCTGAGGCTCGTGGAGTGATGTTGAGTGCTGAAGCCAGAGGGAGTCATGTGAGAGAGATTCCGTCTGCATAAACATGCACTTCTGCTATGAGAGAGACCAAACAGACAGGGCGTCCCTCAGCCCACCTCACCTGTGAAGGCTTTTCAAATCTCTTTCGCTCTCCTTTCCTGTCTGTCTCCCTTTTCCTCTTGTACTTCTCCAGCTGTTTCCTTCAAGTCCCGTTAAATGAAACTCTCGGAGAGCAGTCTTTTTCTATCATTCTGACTGGTGAAGAGGAATTAAGTTAAGCCTAATGTCGATTACTGCAGAAAAAAATTATTTAGACTTAGTTTAAATTTTTTTTAAAGGTACAATTCTTGAGTGTGGTGCAGTGCAATCAACATCAAAATGCACACTTTTCTAAAGTATCCACCTTTTTCTTGCCGTAAAAATGGGCGCGGCCATTTGTAAATTCTATGGGTCTAGCTTCTGGTCTCATCCATATCCAGCTATTTTTAGCTGTACAGAACCGCTCCTTTTGCTGCTTGATATTGAAAATTGGTGTGTCCTACCATATTATTTTAATGTATTATCTTAATTATGAACACACTGGTTTGTAGTGCAAACAGTTTTACCGTTTACTGAACATTGTTGTTCTTCTCGTTATTTCCCTATAGCGGCTAATGAACCGGAAGTCTCACCCATAGGCTTACTTCCGCGTTGAAGAAAAAGGTGGATAGCTACTTATTCAGTTGCTGGATTTTGAATTTGAATCTTAGGATGTAGAATAAAATTAACTGAAATTCACAGAAATTCATGTAACTGGAATTTTTTAGTAGAAAAGCCAAGACAAAACTTTTGAATG